ATCGCTGCCCCATAGCCGCCCCATAGCCGCCCCATGGCTGCCCCATAGACATTGCATAGCCGCCCCATGGCTGCCCCATAGCCACCCCATCGCTGCCCCATAGATGCCCCACGGCTGCCCCATGGCTGTCCCATAGGTGCCCCATGGTTGCCCCATAGCCGCCCCATGGCTGTCCCATAGCTGCCCCACGGCTGCCCCATGGCCGCCCCATAGACACCCCATAGCAGTTATGGGGTCCCTATAGGACACTATGGGGCAGTTATGGGGTCGCTATGGGCCAGATAGGGGGTCCCTATGGGGCGCTATGGGGCAGTTACGGGGTGGCTATGGGGCAGTTACGGGGTCCCCATGGGGCGCTATGGGGCAGTTATGGGGCGGCTATGCGGCAGTTACGGGTCGCTATGGGGCAGATAGGGGGTCCCTATGGGGTGCTATGGGGCAGCTATGGGGCAGCTATGGGGCAGTTACGGGTCGCTATGGGGCAGCCCCACAAGCACTCACTGCACGTTGGTTTCCTTCTCCTCGTCAGGCACGCGGTCCAGCAGACATTTATAGATGGCCTTATATGGGCAAAAAGGGGGCGTGGCCGCGTCAGAGAGGTGGGCGTGGCCACGCCGGCTCACAGGAAGTCCCGCCCACCAAAGCCGGAAGCCCCGCCCACCTGCTGGTATTGGCTGTATTTGATTGGATCCTTCTCGAAGACTTCGTAGGTCTGAGACTCCAGGTTGTCCATCAGGGGCTGGGCCGGAAAGGGGGCGGGGTCAGAGCGAGCCACGCCCCTTCATTAGCATAACCCCACCCATACCCTGTCTTTTAGCCAACGGGAAGCCCTGGTTTCAGCCCCATCCATGAAGCCACGCCCCCGGTGCCAAACCAGCCTGTTAAGCCACGCCCACGGTATCCAAGCCACGCCCCTTTCCAATTCCACTGGCAGGAATCTGCACTAAGCCCCGCCCCCTGCACTAAGCTCCGCCCCCTGCTTTAAACCCCGCCCCCTCCATTACCCCCAATGCATTCGCTTCTCCACTCCCTCCACTTAGGCTCCACCTCCTTAAGCCCCTCCCACTTCCTGCCTCGGCCGTTTAAGCCCCTCCCACTTCCTGTCCCGCCCACTTCCGGTCCTCCCACCTGCAGGGGGCGCT